ATTTCAACCCTCAACCCTAAACCCTAAACCCTACCCCCCCCCAAACCGTTCAATGCCAGCCCCTCGTGCTTGTTGCTTAGGTACCAAGCTTCGCGACTTCTTGAAGACCCACGGCAACTTCAAGTCTGTGGAGATGTGCATCCGCAAAAAACACTTGAGTAGCTACGGCAAAAGCAAGACAGGCCAGTGGGTGACCAAGCAGTACCTATCGCAAGAACTGCACTGGACCCCGCCGAGTCCTAAGTTGGGTAGATTCATGCAACACATAGCTATAGAAGGTTCTTTAATTCCTTTCGAATTGCATATAAGGAAGATGATTCAGGCAGCCTGGCAATGGGCGGCAAAGACAAAGAACTTGAGGAAAAACCCCATTCACGGGGAGGAGGAAGCCAGGTTGGTTTTGACGGACAGCTTCGAAGCACAAGACCTCACATCCCAAGAGACAGAAATCGCCGGCCGGATCGATGTCGAGGAGTCGGTTCTAGTGATATCTCCCACTCGACACAACAAACCCTAGACCCCTAAACCCTAAAAGATGTACATGCCTAGTTCCAGCTGAACTTATAAAATCTCCTCGCCAGGATGATTCGGGCTTTCTGCTGTCGAACGATCTACCGACCGTCGATGCCGACGACGCTGCCCTAACGAACGGCACCGCAGGCCTAAACCCTAAGCCTTATATAAACCCCGAAACCCTAAACCCTAAACCCTAAACGCCGCAGGAATTGCAGCCTCCAGCAATGGAGCCAACCAAGCCCAGCAGATGGAGTCGTTCTCAGCCAGTGCATCCTTCAAGCAGCCAGCTTGCAATCCTAAGCCCGAAACCAGATACCCTAAACCCTTCTGTCAAGCCCCGCTTTGCACCAAATTGACCCCGAACCCCAAGCCCTTGCAAACCTATAAAATCCCAAGGCTGACTTTCCCGAGCTTATCGCAGACGACCAGCCCCGTGCAGTTGCTTCCCGAGTACCTAGAAGTTCTGGGGCGCAAGATCGATAACACGGAAGACGTGTTGGACCGTCGGGGTGGTGTAAGGTTATATAGATGAGGGCTTGGTTGGGCACCCTACATGCATTGTGCATCTTTGTGCAGGATCGCTTGCAGTCCATTGGGGGTGCTCGTGCCACAGCGTTGCTCCTCTGCACTTGGACAACCTAACTTGCATGGCTGTGCTAGCTCTATCCTACAGGCTCCGTGATCAGATCTTGGAGGCGCTCAAGGGTATGAAGACCATGTTCAAGGACCTGACCCTGAAGCAGTCCGATGCCTTGACCCGCCCATTGGACAAGCTGCTAAATTCAATTACACGCAGCCAAATCGCTCTAGATATCCATGCTTATATATTACCTACTGAGGCCGTTCTCAGATTCCATCCTCCGGATGTTTGCAGAAACGACGAAGCAAGACTTGATCATGAACAACTATGTGGTGAGATCCAAGACACTTGTTTGCAGGTATTAAGATCCTTAAAGCCCATTGACCCGATACATGAAAGTCTAGAACCCTTAACCCTGAAGCCCTGTATAGCCTTGAAGCCCTAAAGCCCTAAACACCTAAAGCCCAAAGCCCTCACGCCTTCAAGCAATAAAGCCCTAAACCCTAAAGCCCTACACCTGTAAACCTATCCAAAATCTAAACCCGAAACTGCCCTTAGCCTTCCGACCCCTTTGTCGTTACTTCCTAGTGCAGGTCTTGAGCCCTAAAGGTCCTTATTCAATCAGTCCTTCGGTGATGTTGCAGCATATCCTAGAGTCCTAGAAAATCTTGATGAGACTGAAGGTGCTGGGCCCTCCGACATACCCTTAATAATTAGGCCCCTAATTGCTTACACCTCCGAGCCCATTTACTAGTTGAATTTCAATCACCAAGCCTATCTATCAGGGCGCTGAAATCCACGGCCGGATCCGTGAAGCTTCCGAATCCGAAGAGCAAGTCCAAAAAGGACAAATCCAAGAATAAGCCGGCAAAGCCTGCCAAGAAGGGTGGGACAAAGGCTGGCAAGACCAGCCCGAGCAAGCCTGGCAAGGGAAAGGCGCCAAAAGGCGGTTCCTGATTTTCCTTTGTCTACGACGATCGATGATCGAAATTTGCACTCCTTGTGCCTAGCTGCTGTATCTACCCGTTTCGTGTGAAGTTGCCAGTTCCTGTGCACACGCGGGGAGGTTGTGCAAGAGCGACAAAATATTGGCCGCTTCCGGCTTATGTGGGAATGATCGTCTGTGCACTTTGACAGGTTTGCAATGCTACTTGTGGATTTCATGTCTGTAGCTTAGTCTCCGGAGCAGGTATGTTTCCAGCAGAACAACATTCCGAAGATGACACAGGTCGCTCCGCTCGCATGCAAGAATATACAAAATCCTTGTCCAAACCACACTAAGCCCATCAAGCCCCATCCCAAACCAAACCTAACCCTGTAGACTCTGGGATGAACCCGAAACGTGCAGTAACTGTCCTGTCGTCTTGATGAAGCCCCACGAGTAGAATTGTATCAACTCCCCGGAAGCTACACTTAGGGCCCCGCTGTACGAAATTTAGTTCTCATCCCACCTCGAGAGACAGATTCTGTGTGGGGGTTAGATTACTTTGGGTCTCCCTGTAGGCCCTCAATGCAATATACCGGCCAAAAGTTCCGAGCCCAGGCCTCCTCATGCTCCAAACCTCTGCGATGCACCCGAAAGCTAATCATCTAAATATCCGTAAGCACCCTTAACTCTTCTAAGCACGACCGCTCGCACCGTGCAGGCCTCGCGAACGAGGCTGATGATGACGACGACCTGGCAGCTGAGCTCTTTGTGGGCTTTCAAACAGGTGTACCTTGTACTCTTCAGCTTAACTGCAGTGAGATTTATAGTTTGTAATTATGTGGAACTCGTATATAGTTTGTGACCTATACGCAATCGTCCTTAGAGGCAGACTCTGCAGAACGTGTTGTTCGGATTGCACAAGTGGCTGCACGTAAGCTGAAGAAACAAGGACTCTTGGCATCCACAATATGCACCATGCAGGGGCTGAGAGATCTTATCTAGCTAAGCTAGCTACTATATATGTTATAGCCCAGGTTCTCAAATAAACTAAGGAGCTGTAGAGCCGGCTTTGAAAGATTTGGCTGCATGTGGACCCGGCGGTTCTCGGGTCGGGCACAATGCTTCGCGAAATCTGCATCGACTTATTTCCAGAACGGGGCGCTATCTGCCTGTGGCTGTTTCTTCAGTGACAACCCCAATCCGAGTAGTCAGGAAGGGAAGACCGACAAAAATTGAAGAGGCTTATCCTGTTCTTAAGCCCAGCTCCTGGGTGAGCTACGCGCTGAGCATCGGGGGCGAGCCTATCTTGGGGGGTCACTCGCTTCAGTCCGAAGGTGCATGCAACATGTTGGCGAATTTCTGGAAGAAATATTCAATGATCAATCCTGAATGTCCTGTCTTCACGAGACCTGACTACAGCCGGGAGTTTGCCAGCCGATTGATCCCGATGGCTATCCATGGGGATGAAGGTCGAGGTAAGGCCAAGCACCCTATAATGGTCTTGTCAATGCAGCCTATAATCGGACCGAAAGGACCCGACTATGTGAACAGCAGTGGGAACCTAGCCGCAATTCAACCTTAAGAAGCAATTTGCAGGATTATCGTTAATCATCTGCAAGCATGCCCTGAAATACGCAAAGGCATCCCATGAGTAGCTATTGCATCGTACTCCCGAATCATGCCCTGAAATATGCAAAGGCATTCCATGACTACCCGGATGTTGTATACAGTCATCCCCTCACAATGCTACCACAAAGACGAGACCTTGCGAGTGCTCCTCGACGGTATGGCGGATGACCTCGACAATTTGTACGAGAATGGAGTGGAGGCTTCCCTAGCTAAATCGCACGAGGTAAGCTATGTGTGTTCTGCATTCTAGATAATATGTAGAAACTGGCCTGTCCTACAGGTGATGGTGTGCGGTCGTCCTCTGCGGTTTCGGCTAGCTGTGTTGGCAGTGAAAGGCGATTGGCCGTTCCTTCGGAAATGTATGGGATTGAGCACAGGATTCAGCTCTACCTACAAGTGCCACATGTGCATGTCAATGGACCCTGGCAATACTTAGCTATCCAGAGGGTTCCCTTTTTTAATATATATAAATCTATAGCTACCTAGGGTTTAGGTTTAGGGTTTAGGGGGCTGTAGGTGTGTATGGGTATCAGTTTAATTAATACATTTATATTCATGTGCTGATGAGGACTGGTTTGACTGCTCGAAAGCAGCTCTCGACCGAGCCCGCTCACAAGATCCTATGCCCAGCCCATTCAAAGTCGATGAACCTCCCTGGCCATTCAGACGACTCCCTACTATCGGCGACAAACCGGAGAACATAAGACCAGATATTGCGCACACGTATGCAATTGTTGGCTGGGGCAAGGATCTGGCTGCAAGTTCCCTGGTTCTTCTCGTTCGACTAAAAGTATTCACAGGTCGTTCGGTGCAAGTTGCACTAGACTTGGCTTACGAGAGCTTCCGCGAGTATGTTCACAGAAGAGGCAAATCTACATCGATAACGAACTTCACGATGAAGACAACACTGAAAATCGAGACGCCACTTATCTGATCCCAAGCTATGGAATCCTTAAGC